GTGTGTGTGTGTGTGGAATGTGTCTTTACTTCGCCTGCAGTTGGTGCCGCGGTACCCGGGGGCGCACACACAGGTGCCGTCCTCTGGGGAGCAGGAGCCTCCGTTCTCACAGGTGCAGCTGTAGGAGCAGTTGGGTCCCCAGCGTCCTTCCTCGCACACACTGTCACAATGGACACCTGCAGAAAACACACACACAGGCTTTTTAGTCTATGCTAAAGCAAGAGGCTTTGTTCTTAGCTACCCGGCTCTTAAATGAAGTCAAACTGACTTCCCCAACGCTCGCTGCTCACAGAGTTTCAGATGTGTCACTTAAACTTGAAAAAGGAGAAGAGAGAATGATGCAAAAAAGGGTGGGTGAGGGAACATTAGCAATTTTAAGCACCATCGCAGACTCTGAGTTAGCAGAGGAGGAACGAGAGGGAGACGGAGAGAGAGAGAGGAGGGATGTGACAGATAAGAGAGAGGATTCCTCAGCTGCCTGTTAAAGGATACGGACGGTAATATTCGATGGTCTTCAACAAATTGTTCTCAATTATTGTCAACAAAAGGCTTAAAACAAACCCTGAATGTCTGGTGTTTGTATCACAGTCCGCTAAATCTCCCTCCTCTGTGCCACTGAGCTCCACTGCTGCCCAAAATCTGTTAATTAACTATTAATTCACAGTTTTATGTTTGTCCATAATGCTTGGTGATTTAAGAGATGATGTAGAAGGAAAAGATCTGAACAATATTGTCATTACGATGAGGAAAACATGTATTTAGAGCTTCAAAGAGACAACAATTAAACATTGAACGGTTTAAAATGTTTTTGAAGCATAAGTTGGATCTCGAAAAGGACGTTAATAGGAATAAAGAGCAGAATTTAATTCCTGAACGTGGCTGGAATACTTTAAGATACTGAATACTGCAATATTTAATATAACAATGAGACTACAACAGGAAGCTTTCCCTTTATTTTCTTTTTTAATTTGAGTTATTTATTCATTATATTTTTTAGTTCTTTTGTTGGTCTTGTTTTTGTTTTTGTGTTACTAAAATAAAATAAATTAAAAACACATGAGTGAGCCACACTGTTGCACTGGGTTCCTCCATTACAATGAAAACCAGAATGTTCGTAAAAAGGTTATAATTAAATAAATATATGCCTGAAATTACTACTTTTGTGCCACTGTTAAAGGGAAAAATACAAAAATATATGTATTTAAAACATGACTGAAGCTGGTTCAAACACATACATACATTTTTGTGCCTGGGGGCTGTTGGGGGTCCTCCCCCCCAAAAATTTTTTGATATTATTTGACTAAAAAATTAATTTTTCTTTTCATCATTACAATATTAATTGTATCTATTATCACATTAGACTTAGACATGAGCAAGAACTGTCCTGAACTGGATTTATTTATATCTTAAATTCAACTAAACACACTGTATAAAGTTTATTTTGACATACACTGTCCTGCTGCCTGAGCACCAAATCTTGACTAATCTGCTGCTTAAAATAGTCCCAAACAAATGCACTATTTCCTCCTGATTGAGTAACATTTGCTAGAAACTGCAGCGAGTGTCTGTTTTAGGAAACTACTGAGCCTTACTGAGCTGTTTATGTCTTCAGTAGGAACCAATGAGCTTGGACAGACGACCAACGCGCTGTTCTTTTCATGGGAAAAGATTATTATTATTATTAACAATAAGAATAATCCTTTGAGCCCACAGATCTAAGGCACTAACATAATCTATAAATTATCTTTTGATTAATTGTGTAATTGTTCAGTTAAATGCCAGGAAATGAAGACACATGTCCGTGCAATGATGCATTTCTTTCTTCCAATTGTTTATTTTGTCTGAACTACAGTTAACAAGGGACTTGATTTAAAATGAATACTAGAAATCCTCACATTGGAAAACTGGGAGAACAAACTGAAATAATTATCAGTTAATAAAAGTATTATGATGCGTTGGTTCTGTTCTTTTGTGATTTTTCTGCAAACCTTGTTACACATTTTACAACTTCTTCACACTAATTAATATAATATAAAATAATGGTCTTCTTAAAACCGTTTAAGACAAAAAATTAAGTTTTAAAAAGACATTTTTAGGAACACTAGTGGTGTGGCTCCATTACAAACATTGATTAATAATATAACACTGACGGCTCAACCTCTAATGACTGATCATATAATAATGATCTGCCTCAGCTTTACTTAGTTCATAGTTCTGATAAACAATTGTTAGCATGCTAATATGCTAAGCTAAGATGGCTAGCATCGGCACCACAGTAAAGATGTCGACCTGGTTCCTTCAACAAAAAGCTAATGGGATTTTTCAGCTGTATTTGGGATTATTGCATTCAGGCATCTAACAAAAACCCATTTAAATGACTCGGTGACATCGAGGAGAGGGAACTGGAGGTGTAAAAATGACTCTCAGTCTATAGAGTGCAGTGTTTATGTAGTTGGAAAAGTTAGGATCCCTTATGTTTGATAATTAAAGAACTGTAACCCAGATAAATTCTGGCAGCTGAAAAATACATTTGTCAGACCTAACTGGTGGAAAAATGATGTAATAGATTTTCTAAACTTTTGCAAACATACTGTAACATCAGTATTGGACGGACTCATTGAGAATGAGCTGTCAATCACAAGGTAGCCCCGCCCTAAAGCATACCCTGCTTTTATGGTCTGTTTTACTCTAAATGGTGGGACCATCAGTTACTAAATGAACTTGACCTTGCTTCCACTTAACCAGACCCCCTGCCACTGCTGATCTGGGATATACTAAATCAATCAGCTGACATCCAGATATAATCCCAGTAGCTCAGAGTTATCATAATACCAATGTTCCCAGTGGTGTTTGCACTGTACCAATATGTCAGTTTATATTAAAAACATTTTAAGGCAAAAAAAAAACTCAAAATTCCCCCAAATTCTGCCCCCGAGACTTTTGCCCTTTAATCATTCGCTGAAGTGTCCTCCTTCCTTTCATCCAGTCCTTGCATGTGTGCGTGTGTCCAAAAGAGGCCGCAGTCTGTCTACACAAGGCCGGGTTTTGGCCAGAATGGATTCAGAGGCCTCGCTGCCTCACAGGGGACCAGTCTGGAGACACTACCAGGGCCGAGAGACCTGCGTTACATTAATTTTGACTTACACTCAGCCACAAACAGCACAGTAATTAATCTTACCAACAAACATCTAAATATACGAGAAAGTGAGCTGGAACGACTGCACAGACCAGAAGTAGAATATGTATGTGCAAATACAGTGTATCTGCCCTTCCTCCTCAGCTCATTAGAAACTTCCTTTGACATCCGAATAAATGAGAGAATATGAGAGTGAGCACAGGCAGCCTTATACACTCAAATTAATAAACTACCTCTGAGCCAGCAAAGTGGGTGAAACAGTCGTTCGTTAGGCTTGTGAAGTTAAAACAAAGGGGGAAAGAGAGGTGATGAGGGATGAAGGCCAGAAGAAGAGGGGCCAAATGTCAATATTTTGTGTAATCTTCGTTACTCAACAAGAGCTTGGCGTTAAGGGCATAGGCATTCCAATTCCGCAAGTGTGAAGCATTGAAAGAAAATGTAAATCTGATATTAATGACTTCTGACGCAGTTCAGTCCACCTGGCGGGGCTACCACTTACAGGAAATCAGTCTAACAAATGAAGGAAAACCCCATTATATGGCAAGCAAAGTCAGCTACAGTCTTTTGGCAGCGCTGGGGCAAGTACATTAAAACCGCAGGGGAGCATTTTAGCTCCGCTGATTCCTGCCTTCATAAACAACAACTGTAGGCGCAATTCGCCATAAACGCATGAAGACGAAGAAAACACTTTTGATGAAGGACAGCTGTAGGAAAAGCGAGGTGAGTCTACAAAAATAGAATAAACCTGTGTTTCACATACCTGAAGGC